CCCGCCGCTTCCGGCCGGCTCCGTCGCAGCCAACCTAACCCCGGGGGCCGACTGCAGAGGGGCGCTGCTCCTCCTGTGATTTCTTTGACCGGGGTGTTGTGTTTTGTTTTGCTTTGTTTTTAATTATTATTTATTACTCTTACTATTCTTCTTTTTATTTCTCGCGCGTCGAAGGCCGGGCTCGCGCCCTGGCCCAGCCGTGCCCCATGCCGCGCTCCCCCGGCCGCTCGAGCTGGGCCCAGGCGAGTCTCTGCGTTTAGAGGCTAAAAGATGAAAAAGAAAAAAAGAAAAAAAGAGGAAAAGGGGGGAAAAGGGAGAGGAAAAATCCCCCCTCGCCCCGTGTCGTAGCTAAAAAGGGAAACAACAAAAAGAGACCTTTTCCCCTTTCCCGTCTCCCAGTTGTTTTCAGGCGAAAGCTCCCTTCCGCGACAGCGCTGCGGGGCGCTCTGCTCGCCTCCCCGCGCGGGCAGGAACGAGCGTGGCCGTCGCTCTCGTGCTCTTGTTTTTCCGCTTTGTTTTTCCCTTCGTTTTAATTTACGCCCTGCTTTAGGTAAAGGTCTTCGCTAGCCTGGAGCAACAAGACCGGCCTGTGGCACCCTAGCGTGGGCCAGCTACTCATGCTGTCTTTCTCCATTCCGGTTTTGTTTTTCTCTCTCCCTCCTTCTTTCACTCTTCCTCCTTCTTTCTTTCTCTCTTCTTCCTTCTTTCACTCCTTCCTAGTTTAGCCGCTCTTTCCTCTGAATTCCTCCAGGTTTGTATCAAAAAAAGCACAGCCGTCGTTGGCCAGCGGTGGCCTATTTATCCAGAGATTTCCCTTCTTTCAACTTTTTTGCTCTGAAAAATACTGTGTATTACAGACCAGATAGGCTTCCTCTTCTTTATTTTCTTGTTTGGGGTTGATTTGGGAGTTTCTGGGAGGGTTCTATACATATATATAAATATTTTTTTTTTGGTTTAGGGTTTTTTTTTTGGTTTTGTTTCGTTTTTATTAATTTTTAACTCTTTCCAGTGAATGCTTTTTTGTGCTGCTTTTTTCTTCCTCCAGTCCTCCCTTTTAGTGAATGGTGTTTTTTCTCTCTCATGTGGGGATGTTTGTGCTGCAAAAAAAAAAAAAAAGAAAGAAAAAAACACACAAAAAAATTACAAAACAAAATAAAAAAACCAAAAAAATTACAAAAAAACAAAAAAGCAAGAATGAAACTAATTTAAAAATTTTAAAAAACACACACAAAAACACAAAAAACAAAAAACAAGAGCGAATGTAGTGTTTACATTAAAGCCACAGTTTTCATGACCGATCCTTCGTCATTTCTACTTTGATTAGTAATCAAACGTCTTCACAGTTTCACTTTTAAGAGTTACCTTTGCTGAAGAAAAGCAGTCACACCTGTTTAAAATAAAATGAATAAATAAAGAGGAAACTAAAATATTATATATATATATAAAGCGCCAGGTCTTTCTAAGCCTTTCTATTACCAATCAGTGAGGTTTCTGTGATATATTACACACTGCCAATCTCTTTCTCTGACTAATGGAAAATTCATGTGTAGCTCAATAAAGAGAATGTTTGTCTGTACGCCTGGTCTCTCACCTCCTGGTTTTCAGACTAATTCTTTCACTGCGTTTCGCCACTCGTTTTCTTCTCTAAGGAAAGAAAAAGAAAAGCGCAAAATAACGTGCTCGTGTTGCTGAAAAAAATCCCCATCACGGGAACGTAGGGAAGGATTCTCCGGAAAAAGCAGCTTCGTCGTAGGCAGGAGAATAACGACTTGGGGCTTTGGTGGGACTTGGCATCACGGAGCGCTCTGCTGTATTAACACCCCACTTATTCCCCATAAAGTCAAAGTGGCCCTCTGCAGCGACTCAAGGTCTTGGCCCCTTGGGACATGCTCTGACTGGCTGCAGATTGTAAAGCCCCGTGGCAACCCCTTCCCTATCCTAGGTCAAACGCGTTAGACCTTAAATTTCTCCCCAGTCGTTTAGTCCGATCTCACTGCCCAGGGCACTCGCTCGCCCATGTCCTGGCCGGGCAGAAAGGCAAATTCCTGAGTCACTCTTGCCCTCATCCTGCGCACAAAATAACACGCCAACAACAATTTCATCTCACTACAATCACTTGCACGCGTAATTGTTAAAAATAGCTGAAAGACAAGAGATTTAAGGAAAGAAACGCAAACCCTTATAGCAACAGTGCCATTCCTCCCTCCAGCATTTAATGCCACACTCAGAGGAGCATGGCAAAACAGGCTAAGGCGAGACAGGAGCATGGGAGAGTCTGCCTAGGCAATAAAGCCAGTGAATAGCTTGAAAAGTGTTTGATGGATGCGGATTCAGATTAAAAAGTAGAATTGATTCTGAAGGAGGTTTCTGGGCCCGTCTCACTCACTTTCCATAAATGTTCTGCCTAATGAATCCATCATCAGAAGGCTTGTCTAATAAAATCAGAAGCACATTTCAAACAACATTTGCAGAAAACTAATTTTGAACAAATAAAGCTCCTATTTGCACTAGGTTCCAAGACTCACATTGGTCAAAGACGTAGCACAAGATCTTTACATCTTGGGAAAGCTAATGAGCACAGCTCAAGTACTACATAAAACCCAATGAAAGCGCCAGAGTACAGTGAAAGAACTGAGAAGGTGGCACACGTTTGTGGAAGAGTTCCTACAGTCACAAAATTTATGATCCTTGCAGAAATTCTGCAAACAGAAACAGGTAGAAAAAGGGTATGTTTACGAGTTCAGTGCTTGCCATCTGATGGACAAACTACGTCAGACTCCCCTGGGGTCCGTCTGCCTCCCTGGATGGCGCGTGATCTGCTGCATGTGGCCATCTCCAGTGACCCTGTGCTCCAGTCACGCCAGACGTTTCCATGGGTGAGGGCTGAAGGATGGACCACAGAGGCACTTCTCTCATCCCCAAATATGTGTATTGCCTTGAGGATAAATAGGTTTCTAACCAGGACTTCGACGCTCCCAATTTTGTCATTGGTCACTACAGATCTTGTTTCAAACAGAAAAGAGGCAGAGCAATACCTCTGCGCTCGCTTTTGCGTTTCCCCTCACCCGTGAGAAACATCAAATTAACTCCTGAGGCTGGCAGAGCCGCTCCAGGTTGCCACACTGACGACATTTTACTTCTCTGCAAGCGCTGCACAGTTAGAAGTGCTTGGCGTGTTTTGCAGAGCTGTGTCAGCTGTAAGCCTTTGTAACTCGTGTACGTTTGAGGGCGCTGAATAACTGATCTCATGGAGGACAAGATTATCTTTGCTTTATCTATGCTTCAAAGCCCCCAGTTTCTCTCGATGACAGCTGTGAGGCTGAGAATTTCAGCCCCTGGTGCTGCTGTTACAAGCTGAAATAGGAAGAGCGAGAGCAATAGGACTCTCGCTGTCTGAAAAGCCAGCTGAAGTCAGCTCCAAAGTTGAAGTATTCTGCATTAAAAATCCTACAGATGACTCAAATTGCTTTAGTGCTTTAGTTTAGACAGAAAAGAAAAAAAAAAACCCTGCAAAACTTCCCCAAAGAAGAAATAAAAAGGGAATGTCTATTACTGTGCGCTGGGAAACAGAGTCATGTCTATTTATTTCAAGAAGTAAGAACATTCATGGCTATTTAACCCACACATTCGTATTTTAGGTTTTGAGCAATGCAAACACTACCGCCAAGGGCAACGAGTTAGAAAGATTTTCCTGGGGGAAATATGTCCTGCAATTGCTAACCGCAGAATTTCTTGGACCTCCCTCAGAGATAGCTGGTGTAGACCACCAGCACAGAGAGGATCCAGGCAGGGACACACTGCGACACCAGGCCAAGCGTCTCATCTTGGACTTGATTCAGGTCCGCGTCATATTGGCTCAAGCGGACGTGGTGGACTCATCTATGGTAAAGAGTTATTGGGCTGGCACCTTCTTTTTGCAGATCCTGCAAGACACCAGAAGCTCAAAAACATGTAAGATTTTTTCCCCAAAGATGTAGGGGAAGGTTGCATTCTCCAAAAAAAGTAAGATTTTCTCCCTGCTACTGGAGTATGGTGCAGCTATGTTTCTGATGTGCAACAAAACTAAGTGACTTACGTTTCAGACATCACGTTGTTTTGGCCAGAGAGACACTTCTTAAAGATAGACCCCAGTGACTAGCTTACCCTGTGGCAGAGCTCAGAAGCCTCCAAAAAGCTCTGTGACCGCTGTGTACGCTCAGAAACGCATCCAGCTCTCCAAAAGCTGCTCCAGGCAGATGCTTGGTAGAGACTCAGCTGGGCCACACTGCTCTCACCAGCTCTGCGCTGGCCCAGAAGTCTCCGTAGGGGCTGGGGTTCAAGGTAAGCAACAGTTTTCCCTTGCACCCTTTCTCATCTCCCTTTACATGGGAAGGGTCAGTGCTAGAAAGTCCATTACGCTGGACAGTTGTGGGAATTTTTTGTGAC